ATTTTATTCTGTACTAGTCATGCCAGAAGCCTGTAGTCACAGTATTGTTCACCTATCTGTCATCTACTTCCAAGCCATCTGATGCATCCACTAGTTGCCCTTCAACAATGATGTCTTTTAGCTGCTCCGTGAGGGAGTTTGGCCAGAATGCAGGATACCTCATCAGAGATTACGTACAAACAAGACTTTGATTTTCATAGTTGAAGTGACACAGATAAAGAAGTCTTTTTCCTTTGCCTCCTTCTGTAATATATTTGGGTCCTTGTCCATATAAGTGCTCTTATATTGTTCCAGAGATATTTGTAGTAGCCATGTTGATCTAGAGGCATAGGCAGCCAAAAGTCTTTTATTAGACCAACTCAACGGTTGCAAAAAAAAAGTTTATTTGCAAGCTTTTAGGCCCAAACACCCTTCTCATCAGGCAAACAAAGGGTGTTTGGGTATGACGCTTACAAATAACAATATTATTTTTTTGCAACTATTTAGTTGCTCTAATAAAATATATCACCTCCACCCCAATAGTTTTGTCTGTCTTTCATTGTTCGGTCTTCTTGGTGAACTGCAGAGACAGCAATGAACCTTGTGTTAAGCAAGTATAAAACTTCTCAAAATACTGAGATTTCTATTTTCATTTACTGAGATTTCTATTTTGAGGGTGTCAGCTATATGAAACAGCAGCTTAGGATGACTCATCAGGATCTGGTTCAGGTGCTGGGTCGACAACCTCTCTGAGAGAAGGCTATAATGGATTTTTTGCATCGGATGAAAAATGCTGGTCAGGCGGCTCAAAGACCTGCCTGTTTTTCATTTTCAAAATGTTTTTTCTTTTCCTGTCAGAGCAGCAGCCTAATTTGGATAGGAAGAACTATGTCTTCATAGCTGGTAAGAAGGAAATCAGCTCATAGTATTCCAGAAAGAGATTATCAGTATGGTCAGTAAGACATTCTCTGGGTAAGGCTAGACCTGGTAAGGCTGATAAGGTGACTGCCATGCTCAAGGCTCATGAGTTGGTGGTCAAAAATGAGTATCCTTAGTTTGATGAAAAAGATCCCCACTTTATCTGTTTGATTGCTGGGCCAAAGGTTCTCTGCTTCATGATGAAGAGAAGGGGAAAGAAGGTAAACTTCAGCCAGTGGAGGCATACTCATTTGCAAAGTAGTAATACCGTATAGTATGCTCTCGGGCAAGTGTGTCAGAGCTGTCTTCTCTAATAGGGCACTGGCACTCTTAATGCTGGTGCTATGGCATTTCAATTAATGTAACATTAACGCTGGTGCCAAAGTCAGCTGCTGCCAACATTGACAAGTGCAGAAACCGAGGACATCAGATCATTTCCTCACCAAGCTAGAAATTAAACTAGTATCAACTGCTCCACTGTATTTGCAGGTTTAGCATGTCATTCCAAAAAGAAACTAAAGTTTCAGATTTCCCTTGTGAGAAGAGGTAGATCAGTGTC